ACGCATCTTGATACTTGTGTTTTATTGGCCCAGGTTGGTCAGACGGTATACACAGAGCAGGCCTAGAAGTTGAGAGGAACAGTCCCACAGTGCCCTGATCTTGGGCTGAGCCTGGGACGAGGCTCGTGGCTGTGGTGGGAAGAGGCTGGAGGCTCCCCTCTTCCTCAGGGGGGCTTGCCCATGTGTGTTCAGCCAAAGGGGATGGAGCATGTGGCCTGAGAAACTTCAGCAGCAGAGAAACTAAACATTGGGCTCCTGCAGCCAGGCCCTGATTCTAACCATCTGTGCTGCTCCGGGAGCCTATATAAAACTTGCTCTTCCTGTCTCCTCTTTGATGTTTGCTATCCAGGCCAAAGCGTTTGAGTTAAGCTACCTCGAGAAGGTTCCAGAAGTCAAAGACACAGTGCACAAGCAGTCGCTTCTCCACCACGTGTGCACCATGGTGGTGGAAAACTTCCCAGACAGCTCGGATCTGTACTCGGAGATTGGGGCCATCACCAGGTCAGCCAAGGTATGTCCGAGGGCGTCTGAGGTGTGGCGTCTCAGATGTCAGTCCTGTATCAGTCAGGCCTGAGGAACCGTGCTCTGTGAAGCACAGTGTTCAGGTGCTGCCTGCGCGCCCTGCTCTAGGATTTGTGAATGGTTTGTTCCACGCCATTTCTGATGCCCTTCTTTCCCCATCTCTGGTTCTCGGCTGGGTTCTTCCCTGCTGAGGAACACAGGGCAGGCCTGCATCCCGTTTGTGACTCCAGTGTCCACTGTGGAGCAGTGTTGCACAGCTTGTCTGAGGTGGACAAACAGGTCGAAAAGATGCTTCCTGGCTCCCCTGAGATGGCCACAGGACCTCACAGGGAGCCCTGCCCCCACAGTGGCTGTCCCTGTGATCTTCCCTAGAGGGAGCGTTTTGACAGGGCTGTGAATAGTATGTAGCCTTGGCCTCTCAGCTACAAGCTCTTAAAGTGAGCTCAGAGTTCACATTTTCATGATCCTATGGTTTGTCAGAAAAGGGACAGTTGCAGTATGTGGACACCCAGCAGCCTGCCGTGTAGGATGCCCACTGAGGCAGAGCAACTCCCAAACACACCAGAACTGGGAATGAAGGAGTCCACGGATGGGCTGCTCACTGGGGTGTGAGAAGCGGGAGTCAGGCCAGGGTGGAGGAACCTCCTGGAAACACCCCAGGGGGAGAGTGGGAGCTGAACGGGAGATCCAGTGTGAGAGAAGGAGATTGAGGGTCAAAGGTAGGAAGGCACAGGGAGGGGGTGCTCAGGCCTCCCCAAGGGTGCTGCCTCTCTCTGCCTTGTCCCACAGCCCTGGCTTGTGGGGACCTGGTGGCCAGGAGCCTTCTCCACCTGCCACAGGAGCCACAAGCAGATGGTGTCACTTGTTCCAAGCTGGGGCCCCTGAGCTGGCCTGACACATCTATTTTTTTCTCAGCTCCATTGTATCATAAGAAAATGAAGCCTTTTCCACCTGGACCCAGAATTCCTTTGGCTTCAGGCAAATTGTTTTCCTCAAATGGCTGTGACGCCCCCCCACCCCCCTTACCTGATTCCCAGAGTTCTGCTCACATTTCACTTCTTGGCTCTATAGCACCAAGATGCCCAGGACACTCAGTGTCACCCAGACGCCCCTGTGTAGGTGTGTCTTCCTTCTAATGCTGACGCAGATCTTCTCTCAGAGCCCACTACTGTGGACTTGATGCCTCCATTGTCCTGGGGAGGGGGGAGAGGGCAGGGGGTGGTAGCTGAGGTCACCCAGTAAGTCCCTGCTGGGTTTCTCCCTCCTGGCCCTGCTCATAGGAGCACAGTCACTGGCACCGAAGCCCTGGTGGCCCACCTGCAGGCGTCTCCCCTCCCTGGCTTCTGCTTGCCC